GGGAGGGGGGTGCAGTACAGGACGGTCCGGGAGCGGGAGATCCTGGCGGCAGATATTGAAAAGTTGTTTCTGGTGGTTTCGAGAAGAAACTTGAGAAAAAGTTATTCAAGTCTTGAGGGACATTTTTCGACAGTCCCCAAGACTGCCAAGACTGTTTCTCTCAGAAGGGGAAAACGTGCCCCCTTCCCTTCTCCTTGAGAACATTTTTCAACTCTTATGAAAGGGATGGCAGAAATAAAATAAAAATAATTATATTGTGCGGTTATTAAAAACACTTTTATACACCTTCATCAATTAACGTACATACAGGAATCTTCAATTACAACGACTACAATTACACAAAACATATATAGCTTAAGCCCTCGTTTTTAAAATACATACATACATAAACTTTGCCGTATTTATTAATACTAAATAAAATTCGTTATCCTAACACTTGTTAGAAGTCCCATATCACAGAAATTGTTACCGTATTGTGTTTGAGACATTCTCAATCACACATTTAGAAACTATTTTAAGAGTAAAGAAAGCTGTTAGAATTTCTAACAAACAGCTACATTCCATACAAATCCATTTACAAAAATATACAATAATACTGCATACAAAGAAGAAGTAAATACTGTTTTAGTGCTGTAAGCATAGAAATTATGCAACCAGATAAAAATATACACTCAGTAATTTGAGTTCATGATACTGAATGCCATGAAAAGTAAGAGTCTCTGCAATGAACACTTTACACCCTCCAAACAAAACATTAAGTGAAAAAAGCTACAAATTATAAAACAAGTATACCTGCAAAACAGATCATAGACCTTTTCACTAATAGTCTCAACATTTCATTGCTTACAATTTGAGGCTCAATAAAAGCCCAACATCCATTGGATAAGAGAAAAATTCGGAAGACGTCTTTAACATATCCAAACAGTGACAAAAAACTGTTAATGAATTTTAGGAGTCAAAGTACGGAGAGGATATGCCTGAGTACAAAATACCTACCCATATTATATACTTTAAAAGTCTCCTCATCACACTTGCCCTCTAATAAAAAAAAGGAAACACACTTACACTAAGAGTATTCGCAGTGTTTGGCCGGTGTGTTTACCATGTTATTTGGCCCTGAAGTGTCAAGAAGTTGTTCAAATAAAGGACTATGTATTTTGACACACTCTGAGACACTTAGATGACAAAAGCAATAAATAAAAACGGCAAAAGGACAAACCAGACACAGTGGATAGACAAAGTGTAAGGTCACCTTAATGTGTAACTCAACAGCACAGTATTTTCCACAAGCTTTCAAATCTTCAAATAACAATTAGAATTGGTAGGATTTAAAATAGCTGGCATATTGACATAAGTTTTGATAAAGTAAAACTACTTTTTTAGAGGATCCACATTGCACCGTATTTTGCAAATTTCTAGAATTCCTTCAAGAATTCGACGCCGCAAATCAGGTGAGAGAGGTGGTTGACATGATTCTAGATGCTTCCGAATACTCTCCCTACACTGTAATATTGAAATTAAATTAATTTTTAAAAAATGTTGTCCAGGAGATAGAGAAAACAGTCAGTAAGTTTGATTCAGTAGAACTGTTATTTCATTATGTTTTACGCACCTTATGGAAACAGCTCAGAGCAGGAACATCGGGGCTATGGGAGTACAGTGGACCATCAAGGCTCGGTTTTCTCATCGAAGTAATTGCTCCATCAACATGTCCGAGTAGTTCAGCCACATCAACATCTTCAGCTACAATATTGACAGGGAAACGGTATGGCGTTCCTCCTGATTCTCCTTCTGGATCCACTACTAAAACCCTGGTAAAACAAGTTGCACTGGTTGAAGACGGGTCAAACACTGACTTAAAAAATACATCATTAAAGATCTCAAAAGTACTTACCTAAAAATACTAGCAAAAGAAGTAGTATTTGAGCAATAAGGGGACAGAATGAGACCCACAAAAGGTGCAGCCTTTGTGTCAGAAAACCATCGTTGCATTTCTGCTTGTGTAGACAAATCCTGAAGTGAAGGATTCGGAACAAATGTTGGATGAGAATGATACCATCCCACGACACTTAATCCTTCCTTGGATAATTTATCACTGGCTTCACTTTGTGAAACTGAAATGAATAGTTATACACAGTTTGAACAGAGAGTATCAGTGGACCACTTTTAAATTCTAAATAAAGCAGTAATTACCTGGACACATATCACAATGTGTACTGCTGCTACGGCTAGCTTGACATGAAACAGCTTGAACTATGTGCAGGGAATCTTCGCGTAATTCGCCTCCCAGCAATCCCATCACTTCCACATTATGCGAGCAATGAGCATGAACATCGATGACAAGAAGAGCTCCGACATGAAGGTGCACAGTAAAGGGTGCCTGAATATTTTTAGGGAAAAAAGTAAAAGAAAAAATAAATAAATTAAAAAACAAGAAAACACACACACATGACAGTACATTAAGAGCAATTGATGGCAAATATATATGTATTTTTTAAATCCACTATGTTTTTACCGGTTTTTCACTAGAAAATTTTGAACAGTAAAGAAGTTTTATTGATGAGTCAGGTTTGTGAACTTTGGGTTTGACCATAGAATTGTAAGTCAGAAAAGTTTGTCCATCATCCTTATGAAGAATTGTGTAACCTCCATCAGTTGAACCCATTAGATCCTCCTGAAATATTTTATTAAAATATTTAATAATGCAATTCTAGCTGAGATACTTTGTACTATTAGTAGTATATGAGTCATACATCTATCTCTTGCTTTTTCTTGCGGGGCCGCATGCCTTCTATACACAGCAGCTCTCTGTTTACTTTTTCCTTTACTGATGATAAAGCCACAACTTTACTGCTTGATGCAGTTTGACTTGTGGGAGCATGATTGTATTTGGTTTGTTCTGCAAAAGAAAGAAAAAGCAATATAGGAAAAATAAAGCTAAAAGTTTTGTAGCAGAAACAAGAAATTCTGACTGACAGAATATTCAAACACATACCACAACCAAAGTTTATAGCACCAATTTGTTCCAAGTAAGAGTGAATTCTTCCAATACAGTTAACATCACCACAGTTTCGTAAACCAGCACGGACAGATGTTTTTGTAACATATATTGGTTTACTCTGAAGCCAACAATCTATGATATGATTGCGTATCTACGAAAAAACATCAAAAAATACAGTAAACATGCAAGTAGGTTTAAATAACGACAGGAACTAAGATTTAAGAGTGAAAAAAATAACATCATTTACAAATACCTTGAGATATCTTCTTGGTGTTTTGGCTGGACGACCCTCAAAAAATTCCGCATGGATTGACTGTTCTTCATCTAAAATTTCATCTGGTCTCAAAATGAGTTCACTTTTAGGAGGAGGTAATTGATAAATTTGATCCAGGATGTCCTGGTGTGAGATTAAAGTCTTTGTTTCCTTCCCAGTGGAAGTGGATTCTAGCTTTTCCATTTTTACCAGAGGTTCCTCAATATTTTCAGTTTTTTCTTCACTTAGATGTTCTAGGCACAGGTCCTGTGTTGATGAAAGGGAAGAATTCATTTTTTCCTCAACAGACACCCCTTTACTGCTTGTAATGTCTAATTTAGAAACGAACTCTTCACTTTCTTTTTTGATCTCAGGGAAGGCCTTATCTTCTTCATCTTCAATATCAATGTCAACATCAGAGTCATCTGAACTGAGGCTTCTGATTCTTACCTGTAAAAGACACAACAGGGATTAAACTTAAAAATGAAAAGGGAATAGTAAAATCTATAAAGAACAAAAACTGCTGTAATCTATTACATACAACTAAAAATTTAAAATTGGTAACTAAAAAAAAGACTTACAACTTCTTCTCCTAGTCTAGGCGTTTCTGTAAGTTCCGAGATGACATTAATATTCTTTCCCTGTTCAGCAGAATGATCGGTTGTAGACCCTCCTTGTAATTTTCTTGGACGCCCACGCCCTCGTTTCACAGGAGGACTTAGAACTGGTACTCGTGGAGGTCGTCCCCTTTTAGCTTTAGTGCTGTAATTATAACGGAATAGAGGAGATCATAAGGTATTTTCAGGGAAGTGTACCAGGTATAAACCCCACCATGAGCAAAATGTCACAACTGTTGTTTAGACATGCCAATAATGAAGAATACAAATAGCAACAAAGAGATCCTTACTTCTGTGTGGGTTTTATTCTCCTCTTTTTCATCCTATTGTTGGTACCTTCAGATGTTTTATGCATATTTCCTTGATTTGTTGAGATTGTAGTTTGAGCTGTACTCACTACAGCAATCACCTACAAAATGGGAGAAAATTAGAGGCAATTTCAAACATTTGAAATACTTGTCAAGTATTTGATATTTCAATAGAATAGAAACACTTACCTCTTCCATTGAGGCAGGTATTTGTAAGTCATCTATGAGTTCTGTATATGATATATTGCTATTACCAGCTGACACTGTTGGATTATGTAAATTTCCATCAGTGCTGGAGGATATGGACACTGAGAGTGTCTCACTTTCGCTGCTAGGTCTGGCAAGTTTCAAGTAACTCTTGATTTGGTATGCTGTTTTGGTCCCAATAAACTGAGACAGCCTGGACCAGCTTCTCCCAAATAACTCCTAGTAGGTTAAAACCATAATATAGAACTTACAAAGTAACAGAAATAACAAGAACACTAATTTTATAATTTCTATATGATTCCCACCAATCCTTCTTCTAATAAACTGCGTTCCTTATCAGTCCAGTTGGTACTGTTTCCACCAGAGCTGGTAGGAGAGCCCACAGATGGGTCGCTCCACTGAAGATTATTTGGTGAGGAACTTGGTGGAAGTGAGAATGGTAAAGGTGAAAACGGGTCCAGTTGACTTCTTTCGTACCAGGGAGGTGAGCCAACATCCAGATACCAAGAAGATGGGTAATCACACTGAAGTAAATCAGATCCAACACCTCCATCGTAACAAGATGCTCTAGAAGAGGGAAAAACAAGGACGAATTTAAACATGGTTCCAGTAGTGTGCTTAAGGTCAGCAAATTCTATACAAATAGAAATTGGACTACAAAAACTGTAAGATGCTGGTGAAGATGGTAAATCCAACAACGATTATTCAAGTTGTGTCATAGTAGTTATGAATAACCTGCCAAATTGTACAACTATGTCGTAAAACAATCAGTTGAAAAGATGTAGAAACTACTATTCAGTAATGCAATCTAGGGCATAATTTTCACTTGAAGAGCTGCACAAAGCTTGTCACAATCAGTACGACAGTGATAAAACTGCTGGCATTTAAGTCATAATGATAAATTTGACACATAACCTACTTCAAGCACTCAGAAACTTTTTACAACCAAACAGACATGACAAGGCAAACGTTGTAAAGCCAACCAAATCAAAAATGTTTTATCAAATAAACTTACAGGCGATTTTCGTCTTTGGTGAGCAAATTCTCCAAATTAAAATCGCCCAATATATCAACTTCGTCGTCATCCGCCATGATTGTTGTTAAAACACTTTCACATTCCAGCCATTCATATTGATATTGCGATCGCAATGGGAGGAGGGGAACGACGGTGTTGCCATATTTCGCAGACAGAAAGCCGCCTACAGAGCGCGCACCAGTAGCCCGCAGCCCGCCATTCTTCAAAACCTCAAAACCTACTCATACGATTCATTCATTTTATATTTGATTTTGTATAGTCCACTGTGCGTCATCCACTGTATTTGAATACCACGCCATACCAAATTGTTTTGAATTACCTCTTGCTTTAAAGTCCTCTAATTGCTGCTTTGAAATTTCCAAAGAGACAAGAGATATACAGACTACCTTGTTTCTGGTTTCTTGTGATCATGGATTTCCCAGTTAGCGTTTTCATTTATAGACACATTGACTGGTGGACACTGTTGGGTGTGTTGTATCATGTGTTTCAATTTGGAGAAATGAGGAGACCAAATAATTTTTTAAACATATTTAGTTTCTGCTTAATAGAAACAATATACATTGTAAGACCCTTTTGTAAAGGATCACATTTAAGTTATTTCACTCAAAATAAAAAATAAATACAAAATAAAAATAATTACACAGGCTCACCAGCTTTATCTACAAAAAATATGTAAATACATTAGATTGAAGATATCTACAGAAATTCTTTTTTTACAAATACAAAAGTTATATGACTGATTTTGATGTTGCCGGCACAGTACACTTAGAATATGCACAGATACAAGCATATACCAGAAAAATTTGTTTCTGGTAAATGATTTGGAATATCTACACTTTCCTGTAGTCATATTGTTTAGATCATATACTACCATATGAAATCACAAAAGTTTAACATTTTTTCTAGCTTTATCTGCTTTTCTTATAATTACAAAGGGAAAATCATTGGGTGTGTACATCATGGAAAACAAATTATAGTATTCTATCAGAACAAAAGAGGAATATTGTACACCTGGTTGCTAGATAACCCCTTGTCTATGTTGTTTGTAACCAAATAAAAGCCATCAGAGGAGTCACGGAGAGTAAGAACACGTCATTTCAGATAAAAGAGAAGTTCAACCTTCAACCTAGTATATGTAGGGAATGCCACTGAGATACCTTTTCTAGGTGGAGGATCAATATTTTAACTACTAGAATTAAATTACATCTGTACAAAAGTCAAATCAACAACCAAAGGGATAAATTAACAACAAAGTTCATAGTCAAACAGACCTGATAAAGAAAAACTTTTCTATAGATAACAAATCAAATTGAGTATTCTGTACACAAAGATGGTACAAAATGTACACATGGCAATGAAGTATTTATAGATTACATATTCAAGCAAAATGTTAGCAGACTTCAATTTTAATCACAGTTGAATTTAGCAGCTATGGTAAAGTAAGGCGCCGCTTGGGTGCCTACCAAAGCCACTGACATAGTTGCAAAACTATCTCCACGTTTAATGTATAAAGTACGTATAGAGAAGGTTTAGATTTTCCAATGCATAAGTTTATACATAGGGTACAGAGCACCTATATACAATTTCAAGCATCTAGCAGACAATCTGTTTGGCTAAATTACCATCACTGTAGCAGAGACGGCACAACAAGTACTTATATTGCCAGAACTTCAATACAAACATTCGCCATCTAATTAACATTTTTATAATACTATATATAGATTTTTAATGTCTGCTAATTTACACAGATTTATACAATAGGTATGATTTGGGTATTTACAGCATAAGCACTTGTTTAATACATTTGTTTCAAATTTAATGATAAACTTAGAAGCTTAATTATGTATGTCTATATAGAATTTTATAGTAGCTGAGATCACTTAATGAACAGTAAAAACAACAACAAAAGCTGTGATTTGGTCACTAAATGAAGAGTTGCAGCCCTTCAAGTCATATCTAAATTAAATCACTGGCAAGTCCATTGCACCATCTTTACACAGTCCTGCCCCAAAATAATAATTTCATGAGGGATATAGGGGGCTTTGAATCAGAATTTCATGAACAACAACAAAGAAAAAATATTTCATTGAGAAGAATAACATCAACAATGAGCAAATTGTATCTCCGGTGTAAAAAGCTTACTTAAAGAAGTAGGTAGAAGTTCAACGGGGATGAAAAACACCAGAGAACAACAGGAAAATGATTGCCATTTTCAAAAGAAAAAAAATTCACAGCAAAAAGAAAATATTAACTAAAAAAGAGAAAAAGAAACAAAAGGAATTGTGACTAATTCATTTGTTAATAAGCTTACTATTAGACAGATTTAATAATGACTTGCAATATCAAGTCAAAGATTCAGCTTTACATCGTTTACTTTCACATTCTAACCCACAATGAAGTCAGCTTTTCTATGAGTCAGTCATGTTGAACCAATGAAATACGGGCTTCTATCCAGTTGTGACTAGGTTATCTAAAGAGCAAGCGTTTCATTTTTGCTAACAATACAATTAACAACACATATACAGCCTTAATCAAAACATAACAAGATAAAGTATTTTGGGGCAATTCATTAAAACACAATAATGAAAGAGTCAAAAATTCAAAGCAAAAAGGTGAATTTATCATTCACACATAGACAAACCAAAAAAAATAAAAATAAAAAAAATCCATTCTACTGTTTTTAAATGTTACTTGTCAACTCTGCAATGCAGAGATTTTCTTAAAATTAGAGCGCCGGCTTTCCCTACAGTCACTTTAGCACCAAGCGCGACGGCATCATCACAGACTCATCTCCCTAAACTCCCGGGTAGGAACCCCCCCTCCCCTGCCCCTTCCCGTGCCCCCACCTCACCTCACCGCGACTGCGTGGCAGGCTCGTCCTTCTTGTGCAGGTCTACCACTAGCGGCTGCCCGGGTGCCGGAGGGGTGGGTGTCATTTTGTGAGGGTGGGGGTGCGGTGCCCCCGGGTGGGGTGCTCCCGGGTGCGGTGCCCCCGGGGGCGGCAGCCCGGACGGGGAGGGCCGGTGGTGGAACTGGTGGTTGTTGAGCATGCCCGCCGGCGGGCTGGGGTCCTTTGCCCTGAGGTGGGCCATGGGGTTAGGCGGCCCCACCGGTCCCGGGTACTGGCCGTACATCTTGGCCCGCTCCTCCTCCTGCTGCAGCGCCGACATGAGCGGGTTAAACTGCAGCCTCATGGGGTCGAAACGGTACGCCGCCGCGGCAGCCGCGTCCCGGTAGGGGTCGGGCCCGGGCCACATGGAGCCGGGAGGGGCGTGGGGGTACGAGGGGTGCGGGGGCAGCCCCCGCGACATGGGGAGCCTCGAGAGGTACGGGTGCGGGAAGGGCGGACCAACGCTGCTGGTCCTGGAGAGCATGGCCAGCTCGTCCTCCTTGTCCTTGGCGCTGTCCGTCGGCGTGCCGCCGTTCCTGATCGGCGACCTGTCGCGGGCCTTACTCGCCTCCGCGGCCAGTCTGTGCTGGGCCTGCAGGTGCTGCTGGTGCTGCTGATGCTGCTGCTGCTGGTGTTGCTGGTGCTGCTGCTGTTGTTGTTGCATCATTCTTTCCCGCTCCTGCTCTCTCCTCTCCTGCTCCCGCCGCTCCTTTTCTCTCCTTTCTCTTTCCCTAAGGCAACAACAAAATGATTGGTTAAGTAAGCAATTCTGTTTTCTCCAGCAAAGTAACTTGTGAGCAAGTACTTTGAATAACTTTGATAACTCACTTTTCACGTTCAGCGCGCTCGGCATCCAACTTCCGTTTTTCCTCAGCTTTTCGTTGCTCTTCCCGTTCTCTTTCTCTCCTCTGCCGTTCTCGCTCTCTTTCTCTATCCCGTTCCCTTTCTCGTTCTCTGTCCCTTTCTCTTTCTCTTTCCCGCTCTCTGCTCCGTTCTCTCTCTTCAATTATACTAGCTTCAGACTTGTAAGTCCAGGCACTATTGACAGCAGTCACAGGGTAACCGGGTTGTCTCTGGAGCCTGTTATAGGAATAAAAGAGAAAAAATGGGTTTAAAGATAAATACAAAAACCACACGACACGATACATTATCTTTACGTTGAAACGAGAGGAAAAAACAAACACATTAAAGCGTACCTGCTCCAGGGATCATGCATTCCGAGTGGACCGAGAGGTGTCATTTCCCTGGGACCACCTGGGTACCCTAGGGGTGCAAAAGGTGTTGGAGTTGGGAATGGTGGAGGGTATCGACCAAAGGGCGAAACGGCATTTCCTGCTGAAGGGAAATAGAGCTTTAGTAAAGATGATATCAGCGTAATACACACATTACCACGACAGTGGACAACAGATCACTTGCCTAGGTGGGACGCAGCCGCGGCACTCGCGAGGTAGCTCGAGTGGGAGGCTGCGGCGGCGGCGGCGGCCGGATCGAAGGGCGCGCGGTGCGCGGGGAGAGCCGAGAACGAGGGCGCGCCAGGCATCTCGTGGGGCCTCGGGGCGCCCGCGGGGTACAGGTGGCTGGGCATCCCTAGGGGCGGCGCCCGCAGCAGGTCGCCGGCCTTGCTCGCAGACGGCCCGACCTGGCTCTGCGCCGCGGCCGCCGGCAGCTTGGACGCGTCCGTCGATTTCTGTTGGTGGCCGTATATTATCCACGCTATTCGCACGTGCATCACGTTCCACTTGCCAGGTTTCTGGAAACGTAAGAGAAAAAGTAGGGGTGAGGGTGCGTTATGTACATATGCATCGTCCCTCTGGTTGTGCGAGATCTTAAAATAGACAGAGACGAGCAGGGTAGCAAATGGATAAACTATGACGTAGTATATAAGAGTCGCTTTTCAGGGTAGGTCTACAGCTCTGCACAAGCAGCATGTTAAACAAAGTAGATAAGGAAGCAATGGGATGCACAGCTGTCTCCATTATCCCCCAGCACATTCACTGGAAATAAAACAATGACAGAGCAGCATAAAAAAAATAAAAACAAACATACCGAATGTTTTGGTTTTGAGGGATCTGCAACCTGTAGCAGCCGAACATGAAAATAAAAAAGAAGCGTTAGTGCAGGAAGTTATGAGACATGCAGGCATGGTAGCATGCAACTGGCTCAAAGCTACCAAGGATAGCCAAGGAGCAAGGGATTGCATTTGAGGATAGTTATCTTCCTTTGCATTTCATTGAACCAGCTAGGATACATGCATGCCTGTCCACAAGAAAACCCAGAAGAATGCTACAGGAGCACAATAATAGGTAAGAGGAAAAAAACAACAAATTCTACGGGGTTGTAAATTGTCACGCCAGAACTGTTTCCATACCTTGGGGGTGAAAGAAGGCAAATGACTTGGTGGGGCAAAAGGAGTTGAACTTCCCAAGGCTGGTAGAGGAAGCCCAGAGTACGAATAAGATCCGAGACTCAGAGGATTTTGACGGTAAAAGGAGGAGTCGAGACCTCCTAACTTTGGCACATCTTTCAACTGAAGGGCAAAAAAATAAATAAAAAAATTAACAACTTCTGGAAAATAGTCAAAAGAATGGATTTGCATATTTGAGAAATGTACACTTACAAGTTGTGGGAAAACAGAGGAAGCTGGAGGTGGCGCTCCCAGACCACCAAGCCCTTGACTTGCATGTTGGTGTTGCATATGTTGTGGGTGCTGATGGTGCATCTCAGAAGGTCGTAGATATGGAGAAGATGCAACATTTAATCTATCCTGAGAAGCTAAGAATCTGTTGTCCAGCTCTCTCCTCAGTAAATCTGCTTGACTTGAACCTGAGCAAGAAAATTAGGTTACAAATGGTTCATAATGCTTCTACAAGAGAACGCACAGTCGCGAGTCCCACACTTGACAGCGAATAACTAGAGTGAACTTACTCGACATGAGTGCCTCGGCTGAGAAAGGGTTGTGGTTGGAGCTGGGGGGCGCTGACGAGGCCGACGAGACTGGGGGCATCGGCGGGGCGAATAGCGCGCCCGCCGAGTACGGCCCCGAGTGCATGCCGTGAGGGTGCGCGCCAGGGTGGCCGGGTGGGTGGCCCGGCGGGTGGCCCGAGGGGTGCGCACCGGGGTGCGGCGAGGAGATGGACGCCGACGGCGACGGGGTAACCATGCTGGGCCTGATTGCTGGGCTACTGCTGGCCGGCGAAAGCTGGCTGCTTGAATTTGAACTGAGAGCGAGAAAAACACATTATGACACAATCGTGGAGAGGGGGGGGGGGCGAGGTCGCAGTCACGAACACCTTACCTAGGCCACGCCGCTCCGGGCGCTTTGGGATATGAAAGACTAGAAGACACGGGGGTGGAGGCGGACGAGGCGGAGGGCGAGGGCGCCGTGGCGGATGCCGCCGCCGCACTGAAGGGTGAGGGGTTGGGGCCGGCGGGCCCCGAGAGCAGCAGCGGCCCCGACCCGCTCACCGGCGTCACGCTGGTCCGGCCCATGCTGCTCACCCCGCTGCTGCTGAAACAAGGCGAGAAAGGGCCGCGGTCAGGCGCGGGCGGGTCCGAAGGCAGAGCGATCAGCGCGTCAGGCAGGAGCACAACTTACCTGTAGCTGTCCCGCTCCCGGGTGGGGCTGTGGCCGCGCGGGGAGTGGCTGCGCGGCGGGCCGCCGGCCGGGCCCCCCGGCGGCCCGGAGCCCACGAGGGGCGTGGTCACCGTGTGCATGTGGCTGCTGGACACGGAGGTGGTGATCACAGACGAGGAGGCAATGGTAACTGCGGGGGCCGAGCTGATGGGCGGCATGGACGCCGACCCCACCGTCGTGGGTCCCGGGTGGGCACCGGGGTGGTGCGGGCCGGGGTGGTGTGGGAGCGCGCCCGGGAGCGCGCCCCCGTGGCCCATGAGGGGCGGCATCCCGATGGGGGAGGACCGCGCGCTGCTCGAGTTGCTGAGGTGGCCCGACGGGTGGCTCTGGGGGTGGCCCGGCGGGAGGCCCGGCGCCCCCGGGGTGGTGGAGTGCGGCCCCGGGTGCACCCCAGGGTGCTGCGGCTGCCCGTTGGAGGCTATCACTGACGACGACGCACCCTTCGGGTTCGACGAGTGCGGCGACCGGACAGTCAGCTGCGAAAATAAACAACGAATGTTATTGCAAACGCGGACAAGGGAAACTCACACTTACTATCAAGAAGAGTTAATAATATATAGAAAATATATATAAAATTACCGAATCAGTTCTGGGCGAGGCGAGTGGAGAGCTTGACACGACGGGTTGCAGGTAATGCGGCAGACCGCCGTGCATGGAGTAGGGGGCGTACAGCGGAGAGTAGTGAGGGTAGCCGGGGTGAATGCCGTAAGGGCCGGCAGGGTGTCCGGGCGGGGTTGGCGTTGGTCCCTTAACTTGTGAAGAGGAGACGGGCGGCTTGCCGGCCAGCGTCGAGGCCGCCGCCGATGAAGTGGACATCGACGATACCGTCGACGGCATGGGCAGCATGCCGTAGGGCGACTGCAGCGGCGGCCGAGGCGACGATCTCGACGACACGATAGGTGGCTGCTGTCCAGGTTGTAAGGAGGACGCCGTCGATGAGATCGTCGTCTGCCCGGGCAGCCGCGAGGACTGCGTCGAGTGGGGCGAGAAGTGTAGCGGTGGTCCAGGCTGACCTTGCTTGCTGGTGGGTGGCTGGTGCGGCTGATGGGGTTGATGGGGCTGGTGGGGCTGGTGAGGTTGGTGGGGCTGATGGGGCTGATGAGGTTGGTGGGGTGGCTGGACGGCCTGTCCGGGCGAAGACATGTGGTGGGGCGGGGGAAGATGTGGCGAGGGATGCCTCTGTTGGCCGAGGTGTCCCATGGCACCGGGCTGCTGTGGCTGCGACAGAGGCCCGTGTGGGTGGCCCGGGTAGCTGGCGGAGGGGTGGCCTGGATGGCCCGGATGACCAGGGTGAGCCGAGCTCGGGTGTGGATGGCTTCCGGGATGGGGTGAACTGGCAGTCGGCATTCCGGTCTGGTGGCCGGCAGAATGGGGTGGTTGGTGTCCTCCGGGGTGCTGAGGTTGGTGAATGCCGGGGTGCTGCGGTTGGTGGCCGCCGGGGACGTGCTGGTGGGGCGGCTGGTGGCCGGGGTGGGACTGGGGGTGGCCCGGCTGGTGGCCGGCAGTGGAGTGGGGTGGCTGGTGGTGGCCGGGATGCGGCGAGGACGCCGTGATTGTATGGTGGCCGGGCGCGTGATGGTACAGGTGCTGTGAGTAGGGGTGGTAGCCGTGGTGGGGCATGTAGTGCGGCGGCAGCTGGTGCTGCGCCGACAGCATGGGCGGCGCCGCGGCTGACGGCGAGGGTAGGTGCGGCGACGGCGCGCTCTGGTGCTGGCCGTGGGCGCCCGCCGAGGAGGGCGCTGGAGAGCCGGCCGCGGCCGCAGCCAGCGGCAGCGACAGCGCGGGCGCCGCACCCAGGACCGGCGGGCCCGTCGGCCCTGGCGGCGGCGTGCCCACCGAGCCCACCGCGTGCTTGCCGGGCGCCAGCCGCGGAGGGATCGCGCCGTTGGACACCTGCGGAGGAAGAGGAGAGCGGGTGAGACGATGCTGCTTGTAGCGACACCACACGGACCTTGTAGACGACCTCGCGATACTTACAGGGAATGAAGGCGTTTGCTGGGCGGGTGTGACCGCGCTGGACGAGGGCGACGGCGGCGGCGGCAGGCCGTGGGGAGGGTGCGGCGCCGGCGACTGGGGCGCCGCCGCGCTGGCGGAAGGGGTGGCCGCCGTCGTGGTGGTGGCGGAGGCGGCGGGCGCGGGCGACACCGTGCCGTTGCTGGTGGCGGTGGCTGCCAGGCTCGTGGGCGGTCCATCAGCTGCAAAGCACAGAGGGGCAACGTCACGCGCGTGCTTGGGGGCGGCCGGGTCGGGGAGCCAGAAGGGGAGTGGCTCTCGTAAGTGGCGCGGGAATACGGGGGATTACAAAGCTCACTTAAGTTTTACGGAGTAAAGCTCTACAACAATTAAAGTCGCCGTAAAGATAAGGCGGGGCGCGGCGGCGGCCGGTTTACGAGAGGGGCGCGATAAACGCGGCCGGGCGGCCGGCCAGCCGGCGGGGCCGCAGGGGCGGGCGGACCACTTAAGGGCCCCAGAGTACTTACGTTTCCTACCGGGTGAAGCGTAGATGCCAGACGGGTCAGATCCCTGAAACAAAGAGAAAAGAAAAACGGTCACAAAACAAGGCCATCGAAAAACACTGGGTGAGATTAGGACACACGCTAAAACACACATGGGCTACGCGGCGGCGCGGCTGAGGTCTAGCGCCTGCCGCGTAGGCAACCCGCCCGCACCCGTGCGTAGAGTGCGGGCGGTGGCCTACCCTGCCGGGGGCTAGCCGTCAGCGGGCTGTCGGCGCCGCGGTGCCTTCGCAAGGTGAAGGATGCACGTCGGGTCACCAATATGTCTAGCTCGGCAGTTTCCAGAGCAGGGCACGGGCGTGTGCGAGGTGTGCGAGCGAGCGAGGGTGCTGCCGACGGCTGCAGCACCTGTTTCTGGGACACCCGACACCCGTCAGTCGCGTCCCCGCCTAATGATGCCCTCACCGGCACGCAGTGTGTAAAGGGCGCGCTGTGTCGGCCCGCCCCGCCCCGCCGCGCCCCGCCGCGCCCCGCCGCGCCTCGCCGCGCCACGCCGTTGGCTGGCAGCCGGGCAATGGCCGACTGCGGTGGGGCAAAATGTGATGGCGGGGAGCGGAGCGGCGCGGCGGGATGCCCAAGCGTGCGATCAATGCAAGGCTTGACGACCAGCCATGAATAACACATACCAGGACCAGGCTGGCAGCGAGGGAGACTGGGGGCGAGGAAG